GTTCATGTAATCTTTAGGATCGCTGGACTTATTTTCAAGACTTTCAGCATTTGTTTTGCATGGTTTTACGTATTTTCGTCGAGGCCCCATCTTAAAAACTGGAGATGAGGAATCGCTTCATAAACTGCAAAGTAAAAATAGATGTAAATATAGGAAGAAAGCAGGAATGAGACACACATACCAGATTGGCCAACCCAATTGTTCCAGATTTTTAGGCTCTCACAATCAGGACCTTCTGAACCCTCCTGTATTGTATTGTAACTCTATTGTCTCCATGAATTTCATAAAGCACTGAACAAATTTTTGGCGCATTAAAAACGGTGTATAAAAAGTAAAAGGTAACTTCACTTTTGTGGGAAAAAGATAGCAAAAAAAATAAATAAATACATAAAGCATATACAATTTCTACAGAAATCATTATGTAATTGAATGTTATTAAAAAAATTACCTTTCCATTTCAATCTGCAGCTGCTGTAATTTTCTCTACAATTCAATGCAATATGGCTACCTGAAGGCGCTTCATACACCTTTGGTTTACAGAACCCCCCACTCCCCGAAATGTATTTTTCGGCTTGTGTGACCACTCATTGATTTTCCCTAAAGTCTGCACAAAGATTTTAGAAGTCAGATTTTAGGCATCCTCTGCAACAAAAATTTTATTTTGCTGAGATTTTCCCAATGGGTCAATCAGTTCTAAAGGGTGCAGGCCCTACATTTTCCTCATTAAAACACTTCAAGTCCATCAGCTTATTAATAATGAAAAGTTCCTCCCATTCTGCTTCACTCTGAACATAACAAACAGCATTTTCATCATAGCAGAAAAAGGCAGGGATCTGCAGCAAAGTTTGTTAAAATCTCTGCAATTTACACAGATCACCCAGAGGGGATTGTTTTTTTTCTCAAAAATAGTGGAGTTTCTATTTAAATAAGAATATCCCATACAGATTCATTATTTAGAAGGATACTTTAGAATGGCAGTAACAAACTACCTGCAGTAACTTTTTACCAATGTAGAATAGAAACAGTGTAGATTAGTAAACTAAAAGAGTTTCTACTTCATAAAAAAGTAAAAGCCCTACCCAAGTAATCACTGTTGTGCCATGGGGAAATCCCAAACAAAACCGCCAAGCAGCTACAAGGCTGGAGACCTGATGAACACAAACCACTTTCAGAAGCTAGGTGCTTTGCAACACAGACACAGCTTTTACTGAAAAATAATTAAAACCAAGGGATTTTTAAGGATGTATGGAAAAATCTGGGCAACTACAAGCAGTGCCAATTCATATATAACATAACTGCACATATTACACACACACTATATTGCCAAAAGTTTTGGGACTCTCCCCCAAATCATTTAGGTGGTTCCAATCAACTCCACGGCTACAGGTGTATGAAATCAAAGCACCTAGGCATGCAGACTGCTTCTACAAACATTTGTGAAAGAATGGGTCGCTCTCAGGAGCTCAGTGAATTCAAGCGTGGTACCGTGATAGGTTGCCACCTGTACAATAAGTCCATCTGTGAAATTTCCTTGCTACTAAACTTCCCACGGTCAACTGTTAGTGGTATTATAGCAAAGTGGAAGCAACTGGGAACAACAGCCACGTAAAATGACAGAGCGGGGTCAGTGCATGCTGAAGCGCCCAGAAGTCGCCAACTGTCTGCAGAGTCAACAGCTAAAGACTTTCAAACTTTGTGTGGCCTTCAGATTAGCACAACAGTGCGTAGAGAGCATCATGGCCGAGCAGCTGCATCCAAGCCTTACATCACAAAGTGCAATGCAAAGCGTTGGATGCAGTGGTGTAAATCACGCCACCACTGGACTCTAGAGCAGTGGAGACGTGTTCTCTGTAGTGATGAATCACTCTTCTCTTTCTGGCAATTCGGTGGACGTGTCTGGGTTTGGTGGTTACCAAAAGAACGGTACTTGCCTGACTGCATTGTGCCAAATGTAAAGTTTGGTGGAGGGGGTGAGAAGACATTTTGGACAATTTCATGCCCCCAACATTGTGGGAACAGTTTGGTGATGGCCCTTTCCTGTTCCAACATGACTGCGCAGCAGTGCACAAGGCAAGGTCCATAAAGACATGGATGAGTGAATTTGGGGTGGAGAAACTTGACTGACCTGCACAGAGTCCTGACCTCAACCCAATAGAACACCTTTGGGATGATTTAGAGCGGAGACTGCGAGCCAGGCCTTCTCATCCAACATGAGTGCCTGACCTCACAAATGCGCTACTGGAAGAATTGTCAAACATTTCCATAGACACACTCCTAAACCTAGTGGACAGCCTTCCCAGAAGAGTTGAAGCTGTTATAGCTGCAAAGGGTGGGCCAACTCAATATTGAACCCTACGGACTAAGACTGGGATGCCACTAAAGTTCAGGTGCGTGTAAAGGCAGGTGTCCCAATACATACACACACATATATAGTCCCCTTTTAGTAAAGTGCCATTCTTCAAATGAAACCAGTCCTGTATAATTCTTCAACTGAAGTCAGTTTTAATTGTTCCACAATGGTGTCCCAATACGTGCAAAAAGTGCTAGTGCTCTAATTATAATAAAAGTGCTCCACTGGACAGTGCTCCTGTGCCCCACATAGATGTAAACTCACCCTATATTACTGATCACCTATCTCTAGCATGGTCAACAGAGCTTGTGGGGCAGACCCCTTTGTCATCTGTTTCTTTGCATCTCCCGAAACTGTACTGCTAGGGAAGGCATATATTCTCAAAAAAGAAGAGAGGGTCCCATAACGTAAAACCACACCAATAATTTTATTAGATAAATAAGACAGATGCATTTACATAAAATGTTGCCCTAACAACCAGCACCCAGTATACTCAGCTTGTATATAGATGGCAAGATGGCTGCTATCCCCGTCCAATACTGGAACTTCAGATGCGCTCCCCTGCTGGCAAACACGTGTCCAGAATTACGTCACTAAGTCTCAACGCGTGTCAACCTAATTGGTCATTCTCCTTTGCTTTGTGTTTTACATTTACACACTGTATTTTCAGCAGTCACCAAGATATACACTTCTGTGGATTTAACACTTGTTTTCCTGAGCGCAGAGGAATTTTTTTTTTACAAGCAGTGGTAGCCACCAGGAGCGTCTTTAAACCAGCTGGTAAGTAGGGTTGCCTAATACTTGCACTGCCTAATAGCACTGAGGTGACATTCAAAAGGAATTGTTTTGGTAACGTGCAAATGGACCCTTAGTGCTGACACCTACAGTATATAGCCAATGAAGTCTAAACTTCCAACCTACATTCCTCTTCCAGGTCAGTGACATGTTAAAGTAAAAATAAAGGCTCTCTTTCATTGTGGATAGACTAAAGGAGGGTTATAACCCCGTCACTTTTTTGCCATCTGTGTCCACTGTGGAGATTTCCCTTCACTTCCTGTCCCATAGCCAAACATGAAGTGAGAGAAAATCCCTGCAAATTAAGGGAATTCCTTAGGGACCCTCAGTTCACCAGAACTAGTGTGATCATTGGAAGATTTCCCCTCTATTACTTTTCTGTGGACAATCCAAAATGTGAGATTTTCTTTTACTTTCAACGATAATGGTAAACATGACATTAAGGCTTTCACCAAAACAAAAGATTGGGATAAATCTTGCAACACTTGTTCTATTGACAACTGTTTAAGAGGCGATCCTCATTTTGGAGACATACAGTGCATTCACAAAGTATTCAGACCCCCCTTCACTCTTTTTTGTTATGTTGCAGCCGATAGTTCGGTTGTTTAACCTCTTGCCGACCGCACATAGCCGAATGACGGCTTCACCGTGGCTGGCCAGTTCTGAGTGGACGTCATATGACGTCCTCCCAGAACGCGCTCTCCTGCGCGCCCCAGGGGGCGCGCACCCCGGCGATCTCCGTGATCGCTGTGTCCTACGGACACAGCTGATCACGTGATGTGGTGAAAGGGCCGATCCCACCGGCCTTTTACCACGTGATCAGCGGTGTCCAATGACACGCTGATCACAGGGAAATGCAAGTGCCGGTTCTCGGCTGCACTTTCCTCACGCTGTCAGATCGTGAGGAAAGTACTGCCGAGAACCGGCAGTTGTCAGAGCGGGGATCGGCAAAGTTCCCGATCATCAGGGCACTGATGATCAGTGCCCTGATGATCGGTGCCCAGCAGTGACACCCGCAAGTTCTGCCCAGCAGTGCGCCCACTAGCCCCGCCCACCCGTGCCCAGCAGTGCCCCCACCTGTGCCCAAGTGCCCCCACCTGTGCCACTCTGCAGTGCCACCTACCTGTGCCCAGAAGTGCCACCTACCTGTGCCCACAGTGCCACCCACCTGTGCCCACCCACCTGTGCCCACCAGTGCCGCCCACCAGTGCCGCCCACCAGTGCAGCCCACCAGTGCCCAGAAGTGATGCCAGTCAGTGCCGTCTATCAGTACCCATCTCAGTGTCACCTATCAGTGCCGCCTATCAGTGCTGCATATCAGTGCCGCCTATCCGTGCCACCTCATTAGTACTGCCTATCAGTGCCCTTTAGTGCTGCCTATCAGTGCCCATCAGTGCCGCCTATCAGTGCCCATCAGTGCCGCCTCATAAACGCAAATCAGTGAAGGAGAAAAAATACCTGTTTGAAAAATTTTATAAAAGAAACAAATAAACTTTTTTTTTTTTTTCAAATTTTTTGCACTTTTTTTAATTTATAGCGCAAAAAGTAAAGCGCCCAGTGGCGATTAAATACCACCAAAAGAAAGCTCTATTTGTGAGAAAAAAATGATCAAAATTTCATATGGGTACAATGTTGCATGACCGTGCAATTGTCAATCAAAGTGCGGCAGCGCTGAAAGTTTGGCCTGGTAAGGAAGGGGGTATAAGTGCCTGGTAGGCAAGTGGTTTCATTCATTTTTTCTCATTAATCTACACTCGGTACCCCAAGGTCTGAATACTTTAGGAATGAACTGTATCCTTTCACTCATTGTTGCATCTATGGTACAGGAAATGAAGGGGACTTTAACAAACAAAGC